TCTTTGATTGAAACTTGGTCAGCGAACTTGAGCAAAAACAGTCAATATTGTATTATAAATTGCGAACTTTGTGTCTGTTTAACGCACAATGAAGAACTTCCACGCCGACGACATGTTTACATGCGGATGTGAGCGTAAGTGTGCCGTCAAAACGGACCGGCTGTGAGATGAAGTGTGTTCGATTTGAAGCAGCAGCGCGCAGACAGATCGGACATCTAAAGTACCGCGAGAGCGATTCGAAAGCACGCGAAGCACCCTAAAAAAAAAACTCTTCGGATCTAGACGATTCACATAAAAGATATATTTTGATTCAAAACGGCGAATTTTGCCGAAAAGCGACTAGTTTGCAGGTATGTAAGATGCATATGGAAGGAAGGAATAGCTATTAAGAAAACTTTCAGAAGTACCTACTGAGTTGGTATATTTTAAAGCTGAATGCTGTGAATTAATATTGCAAAAGCTGTCGTTCTAATTTAAAGGCTTCCAAGGACATACCTTGGTAAGTTGTAGAGTGGTGCCATGCGGAAACAAGCCACCACGGCACGCTTTCTTTGCTTTGACAGCAGCTTTTGAAACACCATCTTCTTGTTCCTCAGCGGCTGTTCAACCTGAGAGTAAAATATATGTAATGTTTAACACAAATAAATGTTGAAGACAAAAATAGGCGGTACAAAAATAGGAAGCTAAATAAGATCAAGATACTGTAACATCTCTGGATAAACAAATCACAATTAGTGATTTCATCAAATTAGTGGTACCACTTTACAATTAGGTTCAATTTGTAACATGAGTTAATGCATCAGGTATCATCAACTAACAATGAACATTTGTTACAGCATTTATTAGGTGTCAATTAATTAAAAAAAATAAACTAATTAATCTTGATAAATTAAACATTAAAATTTGCAATTAAAATTCATATTGAATCTCCAAACTGATATAGAAACAAGAAATACAGTATTGTAAATATTTCATATATTAAATATAATACATTACAAATATAATAAATATATTTGTTTAATTGCATTCTACAATGAATGACAGGCAAATTATTATATTGGTTTTATTTTTCATTTAATAACCATTACAGATTATACAAAAATTTTATAACAATTTTTAATTTAGCCAAAAGATGTGGAGAAAAGACATAAGCATAGCTAAGGAAGTGGAAAAAATGATGCTGCGATAATTATCTTTGATGTGTTAAAATGCAAATATTAATCACAGAAATAATACTTTTTCTTATCCCTAAAGAAAATGTTAAAAAACGTATTATGTAGAAATTAACATTAACCAAGATTAATACATATTTTAAAAGTATTGCTCATTGTTAGTTCATGATACATTAGGTAACAAATTTAACCTTATTGTGAAGTGTTAACCAACAAATAAGGATGCTGACACGGAGTAGGTAGATGAGGAATGACATTACATAGCACGGGTGAATTTCATTTTTATGGCTGTTGTACCTGATCAAGGTGGTAGACAGCAGCGGAGATGGCCTGAACTCTCTCCACATTTTGCTCTGGGTCTGGAGGTCCCTCATTCTTCACCACAACATCTTTGTAGAGGTTCAACTGCCACTGCACTGCTGGATCTGCTGACTGTGATGGGACAAGAAACACCAATAAGCCAATGTCAACATTTCAGCATCTAATCATGTATGTGAGATTGTGATTTGCTTCTCCAGACCTTCTCCTGAAGATGGAGGTTCTTCCTCAGGTAATCCTTAACCTCATCATCTGTGTCTTTCTGTTAAACAGAGAAACAGTTTGAGGTTTGTTACAGATCTCCAATAAAGCATAATTAAGACAACAAGAAATACACTCACCAGACTGTAACGGATCTTGGCAAGGGAAATGAGCTCCTGGTCTCCAGGAGTGCACATGTTCAGACCAATGGGTAACATCTTCTTGTGAGCTGCTATGATAAGGGAAGTCTGGATGGAGTACAACTCTCCTCTTCTCCTTTTTCCTCTTCTCTCTTGGTCCTGACCTCCAGACTGGTTTCACAAAGCGATATATCACACATAAAACAAATGGCTGTAGCTCTTATAATGCCTTTTTGTTTTCATGAACATGTCCCCAGAGGATATTTCCACTTTGGCTTCACTGCATAATTAGCTCAGAGCTTTTGGATCCAATATAGCTGGCAATAACTTTATATCCCACTTACTTTTGACATCTTCGTCTTGCTGTCTCCAGTGAGGAACGCCAGGTTGTTAATTTCATTTTGCACCACAAAATTTTGCTCTTCCCTTTTAAAGTTCTAGAAACAAAGGGAAGAAACCAGCTTTGGAAATCTTGAAATAATTGCAAATTCTTAAAAATATTTGTTGAAGCCATACAGAGAACTTACATGAGATTTACACCAAAGGATGAAAATCTCTGACACCATTTTGAAAAGTTCAGTTGAATCTGAATCTGGTTGCTTCAGCCATTTGGATCTAGGCAAAAGTCAAATGAACTTATATGGGGAGCATCTTCTTGTGAGCTGCTACGATAAGGGAAGTCTGAATGGAGTACAACTCTCCTTTTCTCCTTTTTCCTCTTCTGTCTTGGTCCTGACCTCCAGACTGGTTTCACAAAGCGATATATCACACATAAAACAAATGGCTGTAGCTCTTATAATGCCTTTTTGTTTTCATGAACATGTCCCCAGAGGATATTTCCACTTTGGCTTCACTGCATAATTAGCTCAGAGCTTTTGGATCCAATATAGCTGGCAATAACTTTATATCCCACTTACTTTTGACATCTTCGTCTTGCTGTCTCCAGTGAGGAACGCCAGGTTGTTAATTTCATTTTGCACCACAAAATTTTGCTCTTCCCTTTTAAAGTTCTAGAAACAAAGGGAAGAAACCAGCTTTGGAAATCTTGAAATAATTGCAAATTCTTAAAAATATTTGTTGAAGCCATACAGAGAACTTACATGAGATTTACACCAAAGGATGAAAATCTCTGACACCATTTTGAAAAGTTCAGTTGAATCTGAATCTGGTTGCTTCAGCCATTTGGATCTAGGCAAAAGTCAAATGAACTTATTAACAAAAAGTGCAACTAACTTAACTTATCTCTGTAGATTGTAAATTTAGCACAATTTTTTTTGCAATTATACCCAAAATTTTGCAGTGGCCATCAAAATAGTTTAGCAGCTCCCTCTCAAGTGATGGCATAAATACCTGTTGTTGTCCACATAACGAATGAGCATTGGATAGAAGGCATACAGATCCCTGCAGAGAACAGCAAACTCATCCAGAATCTGCAGTTCAGCTTCCTGAGTGTCTGCCCTGCTTTCAGACCTCAGCAGCTCCTCCTCAGCCACTATCTTCATTGTCTTCTTCTTCAGTTTCTCCAGCGTCGGCAGGAAGTGCGTTCTAAGAAGATCTGGGCTAGCCTTGCTAATGATAGGCTGGGTGTATACTACATAGGAGAGAGTTTACAGATGTTTGAGAAGGCATTGCAATCATCCTGTATCAAAGCATGCTACTCACTACCAGTTTAAGTTCACCCTCACCTGCAAGTCTTTTCATCCACAGGGCGTTGTCAATGCCAAGGTTGTTATTGAGAATCTTAAGGATATTGCCCAGAATTAGACTGAGATGCTCAGATGTGACAGTTGTGCTGCAATTGGTATTAGCTGGGGAGCTTTCTGGGCCTTTTGCCCACCAGTAAGACAGGTAGTTACACAACATGGGCAGGATGACCTCAATGACCTGTGGCATCTCTGTGTAGCGTGCTCCGGATTCAGAAATGTCACCAATGTCCTTCATCAGGCCGTCCAGATGGGGCATCTCAGGACACATCTCATCCACAGTGTCTGGCATGCTCAAAACTGTCAAATTATTCAATATTATGGCAACGAATTTAACAATTAATCTTTTACTTTAGAAAAAGAAATGCCACTGTCACCAAAAGATAAATTTGCCTATTATGATTGGCTGCAAATTAACCATATTTTCATTATATGGTTTCTCACCGAACACCAAATGAATTCAAATAGTCTCAGATCCTGCCAAATATACTCACTAGCTCGTTCCCTTGGTGTCTTGGTGTTGAAGACAGATTGGGAATTGTGCATATTTAGGTGGGGTTCCAGGAATGCAACAGGCATGGCTCCAACCAGAGTAGATAAACATTCACCCAGCACTGGAAGCTGTCTGTAAAAACCCAGCATAGTTATCTTAGTTTCACAAATAAACGGATAGAGAACTAAACAAAAAGTTCCCTCAGAAATAGTTTTTTGTACTTTTCCACATAGATGTTCTTGCCAGTGCCCAAAGAGTAGAGGCTGGTCAGGATGCGGTAGCAGGACTGCTGAATGTCATCCACTGAAACATTCAAGCTCAATTATTTTGAGGAATACAATAATTTTACGAGCAAATATGTGGCATATTGATATTGGCATGGTAATCCAACTTCTTAGAATGATTCTGGTTCCTTACGCTAAATAGTCTTTCAGTACATTTTAAGAAAATGTTTGAAAAAAAAAAAGAAATTGCTACTGCACTGCCAAATTATGAGACAATTCAAAATAACAAATTCAAAATAACTCTTGCAAAAGGCATGCTTACACAAACTTAATTAACTTTCTATGGAAAAGTCATTAAAATCTTGTTTCCATGGCAGTTTAGTAATAAATATAAATTCTGGAAAAAAATATAATTCCTGAAGTCAACATAATGAGAAGCTTTCTCATAATTATGACAAATCATCTCATCTAATTGAGAAATTAAATCATAATAATGAGAAACTTTTCCATAATTATGAGTTAATATTGAGGAAAGAATTTTGAAAAAAATTAATTATTATTTATATAAATAAACATTTATGTATTAGTGTCCATAATAATGAGAGACTTTCTATTAATAATTTCTTAATTTCTCTTTATTATGAGATGTTAAGTCATTATTTTGAGAAATATTTGATTTTAAAAAGTCTTTATTACATGAGTTTCTCATTATGAGATGAGATTTTAAGAATTGACTCATAAAACTAACATCATAGGTCAAAGAACAGCTGACTCACAAAGCAGCTCTGCTCCAAACTGGTGTTGGGTGATATGCTGAAAAAGCACCGTCAGGATGGGCAGCAGGGCCACTGAGGTGTAGCTGATGATGTGCGTAACGCCCTTCATCTGGGTGCGTGACTGACCCAACTTCCCCAGCTTTAAGTTCTCCAGAGTCTTCTCCAGGTCTTCTGCTGCATTCTCGAAGAATGTCCTGACACCAGCCTTCACCAGCTCTGAGCCAGACTTCATCACAGTCCTATGGGTCATAACAGAATCAGTTCAAAACAGCTGAGACATCAACCACCGTTGGTTGGTCAATGATTCGTGTTGCACTGAGATTTTGCTTACTACCTGAAGTCCAGTGAGCGTGACAGGATGTGCAAGCAGCTCACCATGGTGGTGGAGTCACTTCCTGAAAGAACAGACAGTCTTAAAGCTGCGGAATGAGGTTCTCCAGGCAAAATGAAGCTCAGTTATGAAAAGTATTTGAATATGCTTGAGATGTCTTACCAAAGAGTGATATTCTATGTCTGACAAGGGCTGCCAGCTTATAGAATAGACTAAGGAAGAATGGTTTAAGTTAGTATGACTGTAAATAAAACAATCCTTGCATCCAAATATACAAAGAATATGCAAAACAATATATAAATGTCAGAGACCTCCAAGCTCGGTGGCTCCTTTAAAATGTAAGTGCCACTTTTTGAAAAGTTGAAAAGTCCGTATTTCACTGAATTCAGTATATACACTGAAGGAATCTGAATTCTGACATATCCTGGATAAATATGGGAATCTTTATACCAAATTTATACTATTATATTTTGAAAGTTAACTAATTACCTATTATTCTACTTTTTCAGAATGCACTTATATAATATGGATTTATATTGTCTAATAACAGAATTTGGCTTTATTGTAACACCAGCACCTGGTGATCATCTCCTTCTCTTTGTTGGATGCATAGCCACTGCTGCTCAGGCTGATGTTGGGGGATGACAGAAAGTACAAGCAGTGGTTTTTGAAGTACTGGTCTAGGAGGGGCAGCAGAACCTACGTTGTAAGCGATCAAGAGAAAAACCTTTTTAAAAACTGGCCTTTAACGTCTGAAATATTACGTTTCAAGAGTGTTTGGTCGAAAAATTAATGCTACCTTAGCAAAAAACTTGATCTCTTGATCATGGGGAGATTTTTCTGTCTTCCCACTGGAAGCCATAGCCTCTAAAAAAGTTATGCAGAGAAAACAACTGATCAGCTTGATATGTTAATATATCAATTTTTCAATCAATCCAACAATCTGTTATATTCATCATTTTTTCTCACCAAGATGAGCGATAAACTCCTGTGCAGAATCTACATAATTCAAGAGCCTCTTGAGGAACTTATAGGCAATCCTCTTTTCCATAGAAGAGGAATCCTGCTCCATGTCCTTCAGACCTCTGCATATGCACAGAAAGAAAAAAAAACATTAATAAAGAGATCACAAACTGTTGCAAATATATTGCAATACAGTGGTTCTGGCTTTGTTTAAAGACCCAGACTGGAAATCTGCACAGTTCCAAAATAGTTTCTTTATTTACAAATCCTTGGGAACTTTTGGGATAATGCAAGTACACAACTGCATGAAATATATAACACTGTGCAAGTGGTTTTTCAATATTTTATAATGAAAATCTTACATATTGTGCCTTTTAAAATGTAATTTATTAGTGATGTCAAAACTTAATTTTCAGCAACCATTACTCCAGTCTTCAGTGTTACATGATCCTTCAGAGATCATTCTAATAATGCTGATTTATTATCATCAGTGTTTTAAACAGTTGTGCTGATTCATATTTTTGTGAAAAACCAGGAAACATTTTTTTTCAGGATTCTTTGATGAATAGAAAAGAACAGAAATAGAAATCTTTTCTAACATTATCAATAAAAAAAATCAATCCTTGCTGAATAGAAGTATTAATGTCATTAAAAATCTTACAGACCCTGAACATTTGAATGGTACTCTTTTTTTTCTGATTATATAAGACAGAATTTGAGAGTACACTGACCTGCTGATGGCGTATCCATTGACCTGCAGGAATTTAAAGAGTTCCTGGGCCTTTTCTCGATCTCTGTACTTCTCCTTTGCCGTCAGCGTGTCGTACGGTACCAACAATGGATGACTTCCTCCTCCTTTCGATGGCAACACACAATGAGTCAATGCATCTGGGACAGCTTAGACAGGATTGAGCCAAACAGACTTTTTCCAGGAGAAAAGCATCACCTTTACTGCCAAGTTCCTTTTTCTTCTTGTTTGCCCAAATGTTGTGGTAATTTTCTGCAACTGTTTCAACCATCGCCTGTTGAAATTATTTCATTGAAAATAAAATTTAATACACAATATATTAAATATGCATTGTTCGTAACAATTCGATTCGCACTTGCCTGTAGTTCTCTTGATAGAATAACATTTTCCAAATCTTGTGGGGCTGGAATAAACTCACCCTGTTAAGTGGAAAACAGACAACACAATGTGCTAAATGCTTTGATTTTTTGACAGACACTACAAAGAAATAAACACCCTCCTGCTGTCTAAAATGACCTGTGAGGACTCTGATATCTTGCGCTGTTTTTCGGTTTCCCTTTGCTGGAACATGGCCTCTCCTTCTTTGGTCCTCTCAATGTTCCATCCCATTGCCAACATGCTCTTTAGAGTCTCTTTCACAGGATAGCGGTAAGTCTCCCTTTCCTACACAGAGTGACGGATTTAAATAGATTAAAATTCATCCTTTGAAACTGGCATTTGTGTTAGAGACAAAAGTCAATACGGAAGAATGTGATTTGGATTTGATGTGTACCTTTTCACTCAGTGCTTTGTACGGTTTCAGCAGTGGATGAGTTTTAGCTTTGTCATCTACTTTATCTCCCGCAGTCCAGCCAAGAGCGATCTATCACCATACAAGATAAAACAAGCAGTCATGCTTTGTCTACTTCAACAGAAGTAGAGATCGAGTGGCACAATAAAACGTGCAAGATTAATGGGATGAGTTTGAACTATGTCCAACCTTCTCAGAGGACCATTTCTCATGGGAATGCTCAGCAAACTTGCTTGCAATGTAATCTAGCTTTTCAGGCAGCGAGATGCTGAAAGACAAACAGTATTCCATGAAGTCCAGAAAGGTAAAATTAAAGGATTTCTACATGCGGTTTCAGTGGCACTTACTTAGCAGTGTTAATAGGCTGAGGGTCAAAGTTGCCTTGCGCATCCACAGAGGCCTGCTTAACTAATGTGGAACCTGGACTGGAGTCGACGTAGTCAGGTGGTATGGCACCAGCTATGGCACTCAGACACGGCATGGCCATTTTGAAAAGCTCTGCGTCATATTTCTGCAAAACAGACAATGCATTTAATGAGCAATGTTAAGATAAAATCTTTGTAGACTAATAAAATTAATGAAATAACTTTACATTTATTTTATACTGGGGCTGTCAATTTAGTGTTTTAATTATTTAACTGTTATTAATTATATAATTTTTGTTTACATAAAAGATAGGGAGATTTTAGCATGGTAATGGATATGACAATGTTAGTGTATTTGGTCTTGGCGGAATAGATCTGCTACGTTGCTGCTGCTGAATTGCTGCTGCTGTTTTTTATTGCTGCTGCAAGCAAGTACAGGAACTTGCTACTGCCAATACATATGCCAATATGGTGCTGTGAGTATTTAAGACATACTGCTGCTGCACAAATAGCATATAAAATGACCCTTAGCAGATCTATACAGGTGGAGCTGGGGAAGGTGGAGGGTTTCAGAGGAACTCTGAAAGCACGCTGCAATGCTCAAGCGAATGCTAACCAGCCATTTAAATGTAAAGCAGCAAGCTCATTGGCTTCGTATGTAACATGAGCCAATCAGCTTGTGGCAAGTCATTTAATGCTAAGAATATCATCAGTCACGTTAAGGACCCATCAGCCTGTGCCATCTAGAGTTTCATGACAGAACTTGGTATTTATATAAAATAATCTGATAATGAATTAACCTAATTAATCATGTCCACTTAATCATATGATATTTCTATAATAAGGGATTTTCCTACCATTCTTTCCAAAATAAGGGTGTATTTTTAAAAGCAACATCATTTTAAAATGAACACAGCAATTTAAAAATGCCAAACACAAACAGTGAGACCTGATGCAATGACCACAGATGTGTACTCTACCTTGACCGACAATTAAAAAATACATCAGACTTCCAAAGAAAATTTTTGTAGTACATATTCAATAAATTTTTGTCACAATAATAAAATTTAATAATATAGTTTTTGAATGATCTTAATTTGGGTTTTTTACAGCAAATATTGATATTTGCGAATAATTGAGTTAAAGGGCTAGTTCACCCAAACATTTAATCTCTGTCGTTCTCTTGTGTCATTCTAAACCTGTATGACAAAAAAAAATATTTTGAAGATTGTCAATGCAACCAAACAGTTTTGGCGATCATGGTATGAACAAAAAAAAAAATAAATCTAAAAGACATTTCCAAAAATATTGTTATGTTCCACAGTAGAAAATAAGTCATACAGGTTTGGAATGACATGAGGGTGAGCAATAAAAAAATAAAAAAAATAATAAAAAGCAATTATTTTGAATACATTGATTGCTTAACTGACATCCCAAATTTATACTGAAATATGTTTTGTACCTTTTGAGAAAGAGCATCAAAAAGTCCCCAGAAGAGTTTCTTGGTGAGGTGGAGTTCCTCCTCTGATGCCATTCCATAGCTGCCCAGGCCTGTTGGCAGACAGTAGTACTTCCAGTTCTGCTCATAGTGATTGGTCAAAAGCTGCAAGGGTAAACAGATATGTGGATTAAGCAGTCAACATTGAGGATACTTTAAATTATACTCTTCAGACAGATTGTGTTGAAACATCCCTCATTATCTAGAATAAAGAATGATTTTATACTTGGATTTGATTTAGGGAATTTTCTTGGTTCACATGTCTGAAAAATAATTTAAAGGTGTGTGTTCTGCCAAGCCCTCTTCTGATAACCCTGCCCTATGGTAGGGTGGTTATGACGGGGTGAGACAGCTGCCAGCAGAGAGACAAGCTGCTGAAATTGTGAGGAGAGTATGACCTGCTCACACCTGCCTATCAAAGGATCATGGGTAGGAGGATTTGTGGTGACTCATGGTGACAGTTTCATCAGGTAATGTGCAATCCAGATGCTCTGTGTGTGTGCACGGTGTGTAAAGCTGTCAAAACACATAAGTTATAACTATGAGCCGAGTGACCTCACTGTAATGAAACATACCTTTCATCAAGGATGACGTGTGCCCTGTTATTTCTGTTCATTTGTACAAGCTATCTGTATTGTTTGCGCCTGCTTCATGAAAGGAATTTTGCAAATTGTAGGTAACGGTGCAAACGCACCCATAAGATATATCCTAAACATGAATCACATGGAATTCATCTTGTAGGTTGGAGCATATCAGGCATACTTGATTGAGCATTAATTCTGCTCTTTTGAACTTTCTATTCATCAAAGAATCCTGAAAAAAAATTATGAAGGTTTCCACAAAAATATTAAGAAGCACAACATTGTGCTAATAATAATAATAGATGTTTCTTGAGCATTAAATAAGGATATTAGAATTATTTCTGGGGGGGAAAACTGTGACACTGAAAACTTTCAGGATGAAAGACTTTGCTATCACAGGAATAAATTACAATATATTCATTTATATTTCAAATATATTAAAATTGAAAACAGTTATTTGAAATTGTATGAATTTGAGTATGTTAAATTTAGGCGAAAATACCAAAAAACGCCCTGAGCTTAAGTGGTTAAGAAGCACAACATTGTGCTAATAATAATAATAGATGTTTCCTGAGCATTAAATAAGGATATTAGAATTATGGAATTCATCTTGTAGGTTGGAGCATATCAGGCATACTTGATTGAGCATTAATTCTGCTCTTTTGAACTTTCTATTCATCAAAGAATCCTGAAAAAAAATTATGAAGGTTTCCACAAAAATATTAAGAAGCACAACATTGTGCTAATAATAATAATAGATGTTTCTTGAGCATTAAATAAGGATATTAGAATTATTTCTGGGGGGGAAAACTGTGACACTGAAAACTTTCAGGATGAAAGACTTTGCTATCACAGGAATAAATTACAATATATTCATTTATATTTCAAATATATTAAAATTGAAAACAGTTATTTGAAATTGTAATAATATTTCACAATATTACAGTTTTTACTGTATTTTGATCAAATAAATGCAGTCTTGGTGAACATAAAAGACTTCTTACAAAAACATGTAAAAATCTTACCAACCCAAACTTTTGAATAGTAGTGTACTTAGGGGAAGTCGTGGCCTAATGGTTAGAGAGTCGGACTCATAACCCAAAGGTTGCGGGTTCGAGTCTCGTACCGGCAGGGATTGTAGGTGGGGGGAGTGAATGTACAGTGCTCTCTCCTACCTTCAATACCACGACTGAGGTGCCCTTGAGCAAGGCACCGAACCCCCAACTGCTCCCCGGGCGCTGCAGCATAAAATGGCTGCCCACTGCTCCGGGTGTGTGTTCACGGTTTGTGTGTGTTCACTGCTGTGTGTGTGCACTTTGGATGGGTAAATGCAGAGCACTAATTCCGAGTATGGGTCACCATACTTGGCCACATGTCACGTCACTTCACTTCACTTCACTTACATGTACTGTTTACTAAACTCACATTAATGGGCATCTTGCAGTACTCTGTAAGCTGTGGAACATCAAATACAAGACGACGCAAAAGCTGCTGTAGCATTGATGGCCGCAGGTGCCTGGAGGAAGTATAAATAACATTTCAGCAATTTCTAATCGAGAAATAGTATGTTACTTCACAGAATGAAAATGCAATTTGAGTTTTCACTAAGCTGAGGAAACCATCCCAGCCACTAAAGGTTTTCAAGAGGTTCTTACTTGCAGATGGCCAGTAGACATTCATCAATAGCATCTCTCTGGGCCTTGGTGAGTGATCGGCCCTTTGAGAGGCGATAGATAGTGTGCAGCGTGGAGTCAACGAGCATTGCATAGTGCTCAGTGTGAGCGAACAGATGAGCGCAGCGGGTCAACAGAGGAAGCACTGCGGATCCAATGTAGCGGTTCATGGCCAGGGCTGTCTCTGTGGACCTGAGCACCTCCTGATGGTTGAATGCATACATTTTTATAATGATTAAATGTAAATAACTTAAAAAAGAAAAAACTTTAATAATACAAAACCACAAAATACATAATTTTATAGCTAAATTAAATCCTTTTAATATTTATTCAGTATCTACATTTTGCCTCTGCTGAATCACTATATTATTAAATGGTTGGCATCACATGAACCTTTTAAGCTTTTTCACACATGATAAATTTATGTCTGCGACTTTTCTCTTTTTTGCTCTGCAAAACACACTTACCGAGTCCAGGGAGGCTGATGCTCGCAGGTCTGGCAGGAAGCCCACCTCCAGCAGGTGCATCAAGAAGCTTTGGTCGTCAATGCCATAGACACGGTCCAGGAAAAGCACCATGGGTGCCTTGAGCTCTGGACAGAAGCTGGCATTCATATCTGGCTCTGTCACAGTGCCATCTAAGCAAACGAGTTAAACAAAATGACATTAGGGTTATAATGACTGTGGAATGAGGAGCACAGATAATGAGACACGTAGGGATGAAGATGACATTGAAAGAGTAATAGCATCAATCAATCTTAGGCACATAATGAGTTTCAGAGATTATGTCTTCAGACTCTTTCAAAGGCATCTAGTGACATGTACAAACCTTTATTGACGACTGGCATTTTGAGTGGAATACTGATAATTCCAACCAAATCCTTAGTGGGAACTAAGGAACGGAGGATGGCACGGATACGCAGTGCTTCACCTTTGCCTTTGTTTATAAGCTGTAAAACAGCATCGGTATAATATTAAAGTGAAGCCATGTACAGTGCAACAGCACTATACTGAAGGAAACTTCACGTTTTGCCCCTAGCTTTGTAAATCAAATGTGGCAGAAATTAGCACTCACATGCATCTCAGGTGCACAGCGACCCAGAAGATCAATAAGGGCTGAGTAGAAGGACATAATAGAGTTGCCCATGTGGGCGACCTCCTCCTCCTCTTCATCCTCTCCGACGCTGTCAAAACAAAGAGTGAACATTCTTATTAGAAGTCATGCTCGCTCATTCCTGAGTCAAAGCGTGGGGTGGTAGGACATCTCGAACTACAACTCAGCTTTTCAACTCAACACCTAACATAAAACGGAGGATTTGAGGGAAGAATTCAGTAGTCTTACGTGGGTGCAGACCCCTCGGGTAAATTAGGCAGATCTAAAGCAGGATCTTCTGAGATCTTGATGGCTTCCTTCATGGCAGCGAGTAAACCTTGCCCTCCCTCTCCTCTGAGAGCAGGTCCAAAGCACTCCGGACGCCTGATCAAAAGCTTCACCACTACATTAGCGTTCTCTTCAACACTTTCACCTGAGATGACCAGAACACACACACAATAAAAAACATAATGTTTACATAATGATACAAGTCCTTTTCCATTACCTAAGACACAAAACAATGAAAACTCATCTTTGTGGTAAAATGGACTAACCATTGACAAAGACAGCAAACCGTAGGAAGGACAAATAGCGTTCTCCTTCTATTGGGTTCCAGCCGATATCTGGGTATCCCCTGGCAATGAGCATTGGGCAGTTCTGTAAACCACAGCCTGCCAGATATGTCACCACCTGAAAACACACATGGGCAGGATCCAAAATTAAACTAATGGCACTAAATTTTGGCTTAGCCAAATTTATTTGGCAACCATTCAGCCAGTAACTTTATAAGGTAGTACAACACAATACATCAATTACCATAGCTTGATCCATGTGACTTTTTAATCTGATGATGCTCTACTAAAAACTCAGTGACTATTCTACCTCAATGGTAAATATACCATCATAAGTTTATTTAGGGTGCCTAAACTTTTGCTGCTGTTGTTGTTTCTTTTTATCCAGAATTGTGGCACATACCGCATGGGGCATATTGCTCACACTGAACCACCAAAACCAAATTATAAAGGATCAAAATGTCAGCTTTTTTTTAACCTATACCACTTTTTTTCTTTACAAGTAACCCTTCTATATAAATGAATTGTAAATTAAATTAATTGTAATATTAAAGAATTTGATTAAGTACTGTAGTGTGAGCAGAGATGATGTTGTACTGTTACTGAACTATTACCTTCTCAAGATCAGGTTCTTCAAGTGCCAGAGCTAAACTGTTGTTGTCCATTACAGAGGAGGCAGCCACATCTAAAGGTGTGGATCCTCTCATGGCTGGGCATGCTAGAGAAAAAGGAAACCAAGATTATTTCCATGTGACCAACAGGGACAGCAGATTTTTAATAAGGCAAAATCACCAACAGATAGCAGTCTTTCCCTTTTTTCCAACTAAGTTTCCCATCCTCTTGTCCACGTTATAATATGCTGTGCTTTAAACGTATGGAAATAGTAATCTTCAGTTTAGGAATTATAAAGTTATAATCTTTTCCAATTTATGTAAATAATTTCTATTAATTATTGTTTACAACCATACATTTCAGCATATTTAGTTGGATTTCTGATTACAACCTTCTGCTGCTTTGCACATAGCAATCAGCTGTATTATTAATAATAAGTATTAACAAAAACTGTAGCTGCATAACACTATCTATGAAACATTAAGGACTGTTAACAAAATTGTACATCTGTGGATACAGCCCCCGGCCTTATCTTCATCTGATCTGATCTGTCCTGTCATTGATCTGGGGCTGATAAGGCCTATAAAGGGGTGAGTGGGCTCTCAGCTGCTCATTAATGTGCTGTTATAGGAAACGACTCCTGCAGAGTCAGGTGCTCTTAGCTGCACAAGCTATTATTCACAGTCAAAACAGCGCACTGTGCAGGGTTGCCAGATCTCGCTCTAAAAACAAGCAATCTGATTTTACACAACAAGCCTAAAATAAATGACTTTCCCGACCAACATAAGCAACGGTTTTGTTTTTTATGGATTAAGATAAGGAAGGTTTATAGATTTTTTTTAAAGGAAGGATGTATAAAAAGCTGACAATAAAAATAATTTCTAATGTTATAAAACAGGGCTGTCCAAACTCGGTCCTGGAGGGCCGGTGTCCTGCAGAGGTTAGCTCCAACTTGCCTCCACTCACCTGACTGGAAGTTTCTATGCCTAGTAAGAGCTTGATTAGCTGGTTCAGGTGTGTTTAATTAGGGTTGGAGCTAAACTCTGCAGGACACTGGCCCTCCAGGACCGAGCTTGGACAGCCCTGTTGTAAAAGATTTCCATTAAAAAAAAAAAAAGAAAAAAAAAAGTTATTTTGAACTTGAACAGCAACTCTGCATATCAGAATGATTTCTGAAGGAGCATGAGACTGGAGTAACGACTGATGAAAATTCAGCTTTACAATCTCAGGAATACATTCAATTTTAAAATATATTAAAATAGAAAAAGCCTCTGTGAGCATACGAGACTTCAAAATCATTAAAAAATCTTACCAATCCCAATCTTTTGAATGCTAAATCCTAAATCTCTCATGCATAAATGCATGCCTGTGGGGAAAGAAAAATGTGTGCTTTTGTGCATTTATGCATTACTGGAGTGGGTGAGAGGCTGGGAAAGGATAAAAACAGGAGGTATGGACAAACAAACTACAGCAATTAATAATAATTCAGTGTGCGGCTCAAACAGCAGGTGGGGATATTTCATAACTGCTACTAGAGACCTTTATTGTGCTCCAGAGACCAAACACAGGGGTGTAACTACCCAATTTTTGGGGGGTATGAAACACAACATTTGCCACTCCTCTTTAAGTTGCTGTTCTCTGCAGTGTATGTGTGGCATATCTAATTTTTGTGCCCACAGCTAGCATTGGCAAACACAAATACGTGACTGTGTTTGTAAAATAAGCCCAAAAAGACTATGAAATAAACAAATTGCTCAAAGTCACAGACAGTGTGATTCAGCCCTGCCTGACCTGCATCCCTGAAGAACTGTGCTGCATCCCTGACGAACTGTGTGTTTGCGTGTGTGTGATTACCCAGCCCCACACTGCTGTTCTCCAGGAGGTAGCTCAGGTGGTCAAACATAGCCTTCTGGTTCTGACGGCTGATGCGACAGAAGTAGCATAGGAAGCGACAACAGCTGGCCACCATCTTGGGGAAGGCAATCTCCTGAGAGTTAAAAACAGCTTTCATTTCACCTCTGCACAGACAGAGATCGTTTCCTTCACACTTCAAATTAATCTTTCATCTTTTTCGCATGCATGTCCTCACACGGTGGCTAAATGTGTGTAATGTAACATACTCTAGATATCGGAAGAACCCCCCAGACAGACTGAAACATAAGACGTGAGGCTCCACAGTGAATACAAATTTTCAAATTTGTATGTATTGTACTTCATCAGCAGGGAATATGGTGACCCTAAATGTCTGGAACCCACATGAGGCTGCCAAGCAGAAATGAGAGACACTGTGGCAATGTCATATCTGGCATAGTCAGTGGTATTAATTCACATCCCAGACTCCCGACAAACCCCAAAAAGGACTGGCATGAGAAGCGACCCATTCCTGCCGTTCTTGTCTTAGCTTTCGCCCTATTGCCACCCCTAATGCATAAGGAGGTATTAAGCTGTTAGACACGAGGCACCATAGGTACTTTATCTTCCCATGTATTATGTGTTATCCCTCTAGATATCGTGTTTAGTTTAAGAAGGTTTGGCTGAGAGGGGTTTGGCCTGGACGCACAAGTGTCCAACTGAGTCATGGGATCTTACGATCATAAACAATATTATCTGAAGACTATACATTTATATTTATGCATTTAGCAGACGCTTATCCAAAGTGACTTACAAGAGGAACAAAAGCAACTTGTGAACAAGTCTTTTTCTTTATCATTTGATAAAACGGACGAAAGAAACTTATTAAGTATGTGCATTACAAGTGAAGTCACACCATCAGGATATAACAAATTACATAAACTGAACATATTCAGAGCAACCCACCCCAGAAAAAGCACCTTTTGGGGCAGTCTGGCTCAAAAAAAGTACCTTATTCTTGTCTCCTCCCAGCACATTGACCATGACCTCCATTACTGTCTCATGCATGCCAAGAACACGCATCAGATTTGGATGCTGGTAAAACACTTTGTTGTTCATGATGTCCCTGAGTGCAAGAATAAGACGAACACTTTAGAGGATGTAGCTGCACAATGCACGGATGCTTTGATACTAAACATCTGACCGATGTGATAAGACGATGGTTAATATGAAAATGTTGTACTATTTTGTCTGACTAAATGTAAACAAACAGTGAGTGAGTGTGTGAATTAGATGATGGCAAGGGCAATCTAAATGTACAAATAGGAGAAATTATGATGTACAATTAAATGTCAAATATTGACCAGCAACAATACTGGTATGGTACAGATAAATGTATTTCCCTAGTAGGATGTAAACCTCTAATAAATTCTGGAAGATGAAATTTTACCCCAGGCCATCGATCATGAGCTGGCCCTCCTCTTCCCCCATGCGGACGCTGAGTAGTGAACGGATCTGGCCCAGTGAGGCCAACAGGTTTGTCGCGTCCCCTACAGACTTGGCACTGACGGTGTAGCTCTTCCTCAAGGCCCTGAGCAGCTCACCGATGCCATCATACTGCCTTCTCAAAAGGCTGAACATGCTGCGGACCAGTGCCGGGTCTTGGATCTTGCACTCCTGAGCCCATGTGACCATAGTCTGAGATATCAGCTCCTTCAGGTTGGCTGGAGGAGACAAAAGCAGGTAGAGTGAGATAAAAAGATATTTGCATTGTTTAGGATTCTGTATATTTTGTTTTTTCCCTTTAGTCGTTTTTAATGAGATCTTTGCAATATGAAGCACTGAATACAGATTAGTGTTGTAACTGGTGAACTGGTGTATTGTATTATATTGCATAAAGCATACTAATATTAATAAATGATTAAGGTGATATGGAACAGTGATTACTACAATTAAATTAAAAATGGCCCCTCATGTAAAAGAGTTTTCAGACCTCTGCTCTAGTCATGTGTTAGGACCATAAGTGTATGTCGTTACATCTATTCATATTTTCTATTCACAAATTGCCCCTATGTGCTGTTCTTAGAATAGCTGCTCTAATCACATACTTCTCTCATCAAGAGAGAGTGCAGCACTGGCACTTTTTATACAACATCTGCAAAGAATTACATCCATTTTAATACGTATCTGTCTTCCCATGGCTGGTAACATGATTTAAGTCTATGCTAATTTACTAGCAATCTTAATACCCTTTTTTGCTGATTTGGAGCTCAGTACTGACTTTCTTTTTATTTCTGAGGATTTATAAAACAAACACAGTAGAAATAATGTTTCTGTACTGTTGATTGATTTATGTATTTATTTATTGTTTTTGACAAAGGCACTGCCCTCCTTGCCTCTTTAATGAAAACAACTCTATTTAATACTAACATTTAGGTCAAGATTTATGACATATTTTTCATAGCATTTTTGTACTAATTTTGATCTACTTCTTTGGGAGTGCAGCTAAGCTTTAAAAACATTCAGTACGAGTTAAATAATGTATGTTTTGCTTAATAAGTTGCCTGGGAAATATTTTTTCTTTAGAAATGTTTGCACAGCTTGGTTTAGAATGTTCTGGCCCTCAAGAGACAGTCTTTGTAACCAGATACAGCTGAACAAAAGGCATAATAAACAGTAAGAAATAAAAAAACTTTTGAAGAATCTTTTTTTCACAAGCCTTACTAGGAGCAGCCTGTTCTTGCTCTGTTGGTTTTTCCTCAGTTTTTTGGGGACGACCTTTAATCTTGTATACCAGGGACATTAGGCGGCCTTTAAGAGATGTGTCCTGCTCCTCCTCTTCCTCCTCCATAGGGATGCCTGTGTATATACACAAAGATGAAAACTGTATCTGTATCTTCTGATTATTTGTGTTATTTTGAACTATGGCAGAACAGGCTGTAGGTTTGCAATTTAAACTTAAATTTAAGGAAGTATAATTAAAACTGAATGAAACGCAAATAACTTCACAAGATTATACGAAGTAGAACTTCTTCTTTTTTTCAAAACACAGTATACTTATTTAGTGAGAAATAGGGTGAGAATGGAGGTAAACTATAGAAAGAATGGATAAACATATACCACAATGCAGTCGCAGGTCATCATGGAAGCCTTGAAGCTCCTCTTGCAGCTCCTCAGGGCAGGTGCAATCATCACCAGCACTGAAGTTCAACAACATATTTATCTGCAATAAAAAAAATTATATGCTGCTTCAGGAAAAAAGCATCACTTCACCACAACCAAAACTGAGAAGTAATCTGAAATCTTTTTTTAAATATGATGGAACATGAAGTATAGATTTCATAAGCCTAACCTTTAACAGAAGTTATATAACATTCTAATGGAAATCAGCTGTATCTGTAAGAAACCTTTCTGTTGCCCTGGTTACAGAGACAGACCAGATTATTTCCGACATGAGCTCACGATGGCCACATAAGCTAAACTACAAGGGGTTTTCTCAGTTAGTAGATGTGTTGTGCATTTAAAACAGGGTGAACAGTTCTGCCAAGCAGTCCTATTCTTTGGCTCTGAAAATAATGGAGTGGGTGCAAAAGATGCATTTTTTCAGTTACCGAAACAGAAGTGTAATTAAAAAAAGTGAACATGAATAATTCTGGAAAAAGTCCACTCTGACTTAGTCTTGGAGCTGTGCTAAGCACAAATCAAAAGACAATAAGTCAAAACCTTGGCACAGGTTTATTAGTAGTACTGCTGTACATTTTCAAATAAAAGTCAAGTATCTGTTCTGATGCCAAGGTGTTTGTTTTCTCGTTCCCATTCACAAGGATGTAGTTTGCATTCAGAAATTAGTAGTAATGTGGCGACAGCAGGAGGAACATTCCTCTGTCAACAAAATATGTTAATTTTTATGTAATAAATCCACATATATTTGAAATTATACAAAAGAAAAAGTGAAGCGAATCACATTATGAGCTGCATGTGCTGAAGACAATGGAGATGGAGACGTCTTTCATTAAAGTGTTCAAGTGTCATTAAAGGTCTTTTCTGGACATTCTGAGATCTATGAAGAATGAGGCTCTATGTGGGTCTATGAAGAATACTTTACCTGCTCTTGGGGAGGTGAGCGGAACTCTCTTGTCTTCTTGGCAGTGACAGCAGCTGACATGTTGAGGGCTTGCATCAACTCGTTGTAGCGGAACTTCTGATTGTATTGCAGCTTGGACACGAAATCATCTGAGAAGGCCACTATAGCTTCAATGCGCTGCTTCAGCTCACAGTCACAGAAATAGTGTAGCAGTTCACACATCTGCACAACAAACAAACAATTACACAAAATCACTAGTAAGAACCCATATATTCAGTAAGAACCGCATATATCTCAGTAATGTTGTTTTAGAGGTACAGTTGAGGTTAAAGGGCTAAAAACTGGAAATATAAACCTCCACAGGAAGATTTTATAGTTCATATACTCATTCATACTCAATTACCTTGGTTAAATGCACAAGAATCATGTACATATCTCAAGCAAATATATTTAACTGATTGTAATAAACAAATTAAGCCAATGTTTTAGATATTCAGAAATCTGAATAAGACAACTGGCAGATTAATCATTATTTTGGGATTTATAATATATACTGCACTTAAACATTGTGCATGTCCAAACAAATATGGGGAAACTTATCAGGTAAATTTAATCCATTATCATGAAATTACTGTAATAACGAGATTCTGACTTGTAAAAAGTCTTCACATTCTTGTAGAACTCATAATTACAACTTGTAAACTCCGACTTGTACCACCTGACTGCTGTGTCGTCATGCAGAAACTCAAACTCAAAATGGCAGCAGCTTCTGCAGTAAAATATTACTTTTTATTTCTGTTTAATAAGTCCAATAAATGACTACTGTTAAAGTCTTAATAATGACAAGTTTAATATGAAAGTAGTTAGCGTAGAGCTAGCGTAGAGCTAGCGTAGAGCTAGCGTAGAGCTGGAACTAATCTTAATTAGTTAAATGAACTTTAAAAATGTATTAATAAAACATCTGCACAACGTTTTGTCTATTGATTATTTAATTACACTGATTCATTTTGGCGTTAATAGTGTTGCCATAGAAATGCATTATTCCAGTACTGAGGATGTGAACAGCTCCTAGCAGAACATTCGGCTTCAGGTCATATGGTAATTACGACATCATCATACTTTTTTATTTCCTACTTTAAAAAAAAAAAAACCTTAATGAGTTATTAATTAGATAAATAATTAAATAATAAATAAATTACATTTCTGTCTAAAGTTACCAGCAAGTCAAGAGCAAGCATACTCTAATCACTGAAGAACTTGTAAACAACTTTTTTCAGATTATAGGCTTAACCACAATATGGACCTAATTTGTAAAATAATATGAATGCAAATGACAGATTATAATGAACAGTGGTGGACGAAGTACACAAATCAAGTACTTGAGTAAAAGTACAGATCTGTATTATAAAATATTACTCCAGTAAACGTAAAAGTACTCAGTTTTCAATTTTACTCGAGTGAAAGTACAAAAGTACTTGATTTTTTATGTACTTAAGTAAAAAGTACCGCAGTTTTATATAGGCTACTTTTATTATTTAATTTTATATTAGCATATATTTTTTTATAACCCTACTGCTCAAAATACCTGGGATTTTCCCAAAATAACCAATAAGGAAATAATGAATATAATAAGGAAAAGTAAAAGTTACTCAAAATAAAACTACTCCAGTAAAGTACAGATACTTGAAAAATGTACTTAAGTACAGTAACGAAGTAAAGCTACTCCGTTACTGTCCACCACTGATAATGAACAAGATAACAAGTTACTCACCTGCCGTTTGACCGATTCAGGCAAACTTTTCTCCAGTAGACCTTTGGGAGGCTGCTTGGCCTCTTTACTCTCTTCCTCTCCAGCCTCCACAGCCTTCTCTTCATTACTGGTGGCCTCCTCTTTCTCGGCTCCCTGTTCTGCCACTGCTGTCTGTTCCTCCTCCTCCTTACTGTCCTCAAACACACTGGGGTCAATGAGAAGCAGGATGGTCCTCACCTCCTCACTGGTCAGCGCCCCCATTATCAGCAGGGTGCCAATCAGCTTGAGAATCGGCACAAACTGATACTCAACGCTTCCACCCACAGGATCTCGAATGTGGGCACCTCCGCCCTGAACGGCTTCCGTAAGCATGCTGATGGCTTTCTCCTTCAGGATACCCAGGGGGATCTGTGGGCTGAAGAGAGGCTGATCGCGCTTGGGGGTAATGAAACACGGAGGGGTGAAGTTGAAACGAGGGGCAAGTGAAGTGCTTAAGCCTACGCCAGGAAGAGAGTGGCGCTTAGAGTCATCAGGGAAGAGGCGGATGCTCCTCGTCTCGTCCGTTACTGGGATTATAAACTCATTGTTCATCATGAGATGGGCCTCTTTGGCCGTCTCCAGGTGAATGCTGATGAGGACATCATAAAAGCCTTCACGCAGTTGACCAGACAGGTACTGGTTATCAATGGTGTATAAGAGCTGCGATTGGTCAAAATGACTACAGAGGACGTGTGCAATGCGGGTGTTGCCCAGGGCACATAGGGCACAGAAGAGTTTTAAAGTGTGATAGTGGAACTGCCGTAGATCTTCATTTTCTGATAGTTCCATGATGTCGATACACCTACGGTGTGGCAAACAGGAAGTAGTTTAAGATCTTCATTCAAGCCAGCTGGCATTGGAGCCAAATGAGCACTTAAGGGGTTTTATTTCAATGAAAGGTCACATTCCCAGGATCACGAAGTTGCCAGTCATTGCATGTGGAAAACAGAGTGTATGAGTAATGCATCACCTGTTCTCCTCTGGGATATGAACAGCCATCATCTGCAAGGGCTCTAGACACTGCACCACCCAGCCATGCCTCTCACTCACGCGGGCCGTCTCCACAGACAGGAAGGTGTTGGGCATTCTGCTCCACAGCACAGACACAAGTGTCTGCACATCCAGCCGAGGAGGACACTGGGGCTCTGGGTTTCTTTGTAAACTCTTAAAGATGGCTGAAGACAGGGGCATTGCATCCTGCGTGAGGATTGATGCAGATCATGTCAGTGAATTATAATGTGTGAAATGGAGGAACTTGAAAACATGAATTGTATAGACTTACTGGGATTTTTGGAAACTCAAACTGGAAGAGGTTGGGACTCGTAGGTTGAACAAACACAGCAGGGAAGAGCTTCGTGTTAGGCTCAACCTAAGAGAAGGCAGAAGAAAGCATATGAAGTCTATTCTAAAAAAGTTTACTTGCTCTACTTGGACAAGCAAGTGTTGCACGCTACTTAGGATTAATGTAAATCCAGACTGCTCAGACATGATACAGCCTTTTATCCATTAAGCTATTTTAATGGATCCAGCTATTTTAAATATTTGCTATTATGAGTCTGATTCAAAATCAGAGCCTTAGGCAAACTAAGACTAGAAAAGCACAGAGCTTCATTAAAGCTACATTGTGCTAGCCATTATTAGCTCTGTAGAAAGTCTCACTGTCAACTTTCCAGATGTTTTCCTTTTCATTGAAATAAAACCCCTTCAAATTTAGCCAACTTTTAAAAAGAAAATTCGATTGGAATTTACTAAAAATGCAGCAAGTGATGGCATATTGGTGGCATCCGAATATGCATGCATCCCTACTATACTGTATTACTGAATTACTACACTATACTATACTACTATCCATACAATGTGAAAAGAGTAGTATGTATGTCCAAAATCAAAGTATTCATAAAACAGCAGGCAAAAATTACCCAGATGACTTTCGAGCGAGATTTTGAAGTGCCCAGTGGACACACTTCACTATCCCATGAGGCCACAGGAGATGAGTAATGAATGGTAGGTCACATGGTAATGACAACATGACGACTGTAGTACATCCAGATAGCATTCATATTAAACACATTCATACTATAGAGAACATACTTTTTTAATGGTTGCAAAATACTTATTCAAACTTAGAACCTACTCAAAGAGAATGCATTTTGGATGAAGCCATTTTGTCACCGATATACTAAAAAGCATAACTGTATTTTCACATTATATGTATATGTTATCATTTTTTGGTTATCACTTATTTTATTATTTCTTAAGACCATTAATAGTCAAATAAAAAATCCTGAAATCCTATTAATCGAATTGTAGTAAGCTTTGCATTATGATATGGTACTAATGGGCTAAGCCTGTATTTAAGTCTAGCAATTAATGTTATTTACATCTAGCAATGTCATTGTGTCCTGTTTTGTAAAAGGTTAGGAGTTGAGATTACCTGGTATGCAGTAGGCAGATCTCTGCCATTGGCAGTGAATGAAACCAGGCCTGAGGCCAGGTCTATGGAGCAGCCAATCTCCAGATCAGTGTTACTACGGCCTGTGGAGCCGCTGACAACATCACCAGCACAGACCATGTAACAATTACTCCTCCTCACACTGAATTAAAAGAGATGACAAAAAGACAACAACCAGATTCAATCAGGAGAAATTTCCAATATGTCTGGGATCTATGTTGGAGTACTGTGAAAATAGCTGTGTGAAAACAACAGTAGTCTGAAATATTGGGGTTTCTTTTGGAAGTGTGAACCAGTGTTTTGAACTGACCTCTCGTGAACACGTCCCCGCTCATCTCCCAGCGTTACAGTGACAGTGCGAACTGTGCTGAGGCTGAAGTATTTGCTGTAGTAGTGGTAGTCTGGTGTCACCCAGCCCACCCAAACGGACGATGGATCTTGTCCAGCAAACACTCTCACAGAGTAGAAGTGCTTAAGCACAAGTACATCAAAAGTCAAATGAGTACAACAATAAGCTAATCTTATATTGTTCTCAAAGTTTAAGTAAACACTGGTTAGCATTTACAAAGTGAGAAGTGTTAAGAATTAGAGCTATCTTTTTTTTACCTTTGTAATGCTGCCATAATCAGTCTTGCCTCCATCATCCTTCTTGGCTCTTTGGTCCTCAGCGATCACCTCATTGATATCAGTTGTCTTCCGAGGGCCAGAGTGGAACTCAACAGGCATGCTTAGACGACAACAGACCATGTCATCATTGCTGGTCTGGGTCCCATATGTCTTGTGTGTTACCTTTAGACATGGAGGTGTGTCCACAGTCTCATCTATTCTAGTGACCTAAATACAAAAAAAGATGCAGTTTACAGAATCCATCCCAGTATTTTTCAAGAAAGTAAAAGGAGATACAGTAATTCACAACCTCTATATGTACCTCAATATGGGGATGGTCCTCTGGTACATTAACAAACGTAGGCAGGCGTTTGCTGAACCACATGGTGACCTCTCGATTCATGTTGACAGCAAAGGGTTCAAAGCCCTCCTGAAGGCCACACATAGTGTAGTACTTAAAACTACTAGCGGCTTTTCCTAAATTCATGCGGCCAATTTGGGAAAGACCCAGGCTGCACACTGGGATGAATCCTATAGTGACAAAGGTCAGTGTGTATCAATTTGTTCAAAGCATGTCTTAAAAATTTTGGGCTGAAATTTGATGACCATTTACTTCAATTAAAAAAAATGAATGTCTTGTTCCTTTACTTTCATTCTGATAATATGTGATTTTCCTATATATAATATATTACAGATGCTTTGTGTTTATGATGATAATTGTCTGTTTACCATCTTCAGTTTCAAAGTCGGCAAAGCAGAGCTCAGAGCCCTTGTTGGTGATTAAGATCTCTCCATTCAAGGTGAATATCATGGATTTGTCCTCCATGTTGATCATGCAGCCCACCACATCTCCTTTATTCCACGTCCTCCCAAAGAAATGACTGCCCATATGAACCCGGCGGCCCTGGGAGCAATTTTTATATTAGAACAAATCAATTTAAATCATGCATCATCATTTATAGACTAAAACAATATTAGCAAACATTATTAGGTAAACTTGCTATGGAATGCAAGATCTTACTGTATTTAGATTAATCAGAATATACTTCTATTTTGTTCTATTCTGTTTACTTCTATTATGTTCTATTATGTTAAATGTGTTTGAGTCCAGACTGAAATGTTTTGAACTCCACAGTTTGTACCTTGTACCAGCATAAAACAAAAACAAAACAGACCAATGTGACAATATCAGATAATCACCCTGTAGCCATCAAAGACGAAGGACTGGTCATCTAGTCCCAGTTCTTTATCAGGTCTGCATCCGGGCCGTGCCCAGCCCACCCGCATGTCACCTCCAGTGAGCGCCTCAAACTCAAAATACCACTTCCCTGTCTTCACAGCGTAGATCTTCTCCACACGGAAGAGACGGATGGATTCGATACCTTCCTTCTCTACTGTGTGAGCAGCTACAGAATGGAAAAATGGGTGAAATTTTAGGAAAGGGAAAATTATGAACAATTG